CGCCCCTGTGACGGCTCGCCTGTTTCCTGCTTCCTGCTCATCTAATAACACTAACGCACTGTGTACGGTGAAAAGGAATTCTCTGGAATGCAGAGGCGAAAGCCTAACACGGCCTTGTGATATGCGAGGCCCGCCGACTGAAACGTTCTCACGCTGCCGCCGCGCATTCAATCTGAGCGCCGCAGAATGGAAAGTAGGCTCCGGGGCGAATGAGCGCAATGAATGCGAGCTGTTTGTCGAGCCACAGGAGAGGGGAGTGGGTCCATGTGAAACAACTACGGGGGAGCGGCGATATTCCAGGAAGTGGCCCGTGTGGGATCACAAAGTGAGGAAAGGCCCGCAACAGCGCACAGTAAACATGAAGATTCATGTCGGCGCACACGGAAAAGCGCAAGTTTGAAAATGTTTACGGGAAGGAGGACCCAAAAGGCTTCTTCAAAACTCAGTCGCCCGCATGACCTTCTCGTCACAACGGCAACGGCAGTTCACATGCGTCGCAGCTGTCACGCAGTGAGTGAGCCAATGGAAATTACAAGTAACCGTGCCTCGATCATTCCTCGAACTAATCAGTGGCTTGAATGTACTTCCTGGTGTTCAAAACAAGCTTTGTAAGATGACAAGTCAAATAAGATGAAAATGCGCGTCCTCTACGAAGGAATGTTGGCCTCCTCGTGTCACCATAAGTACAAAAACTTTCATCTGTGCCCTGCATTTCTTTTGTCACCCTAAAAATCTGCAGTTTCTGGCATTTAAAAATTCCGTTGTACCTAAATAAACACATACAAGTAAAGTGTATGTAGGTTTTAGTTTCTTGTCAGTGCTAGCAAAGCTATTGGAACATGTTTTGATAAACGTTGAGCCAATGCTATCTGACGGCTTGTTGTAGGAGAAAGTCAAGTTAAAAAAAGTTGTTGCCAATAATATGTTCTATGTGCCCCCCCCAGACATGCAATTTTCATCATAGTGCCGTTTTGTTTTTTTTTTAATCAGTGGCGACACACAGAACACGTCATTGCAACAAGTTCTTTGGACTACACTTTGCCTTTAAAAAACAAAAAAAAACAAAACATGATCGTGTGTGTGCAAAGACGTTTTGTTTTTCTCCATTGTGCCAAGTTACCAAAACACGTTATGAATATAAATGACTATAAAAACTAATTTCACTCAGAGTAATGACTTCATTAAATAGCATGAGACAGTTGTTGTCACACTGCATGGCTTGAATTGCTATCGTTCTTTCTCAGACAAATATAGTGTGAGACATTTTAAACCATCTCAGTTCATCAGTGCGGCACTTGTTTAGCTCATTCACACAGAGGATAAAGAATATATAACTGCGAGTACTGCTGCATTGTTATATGTACTACTGTGTGTGTTCATTCTGTGTCTTAAAGGGTTATAGCACTGGAGTATAAGCGCTATTTAGCATCAAGCTAGCGGAGCGAAAGGTGCTTGTTTTAAAAAATAAAAACATAACTTCTCTGTTTCATGTTTAGATTGAAGGCAACTGTCAACTGGGAGTTCCATTAATCAGCTTACAGACTTTTTTTTTTCTGTTCACCATTTGCCAAAGTCCCGCTTATTGTGAAATGACTTGATTTCAGCACCACTGTACGTTGGCCGCTTCCAGTGCTAGTAATTATAATCACTTATTGTACATTCATTACTCAGTTTCCTCACCTCCGCCCAGTTCCGGATCCTTTCCCTCTGCTTCACACGCCTCCTCCACTTCGTCCTCATCCGGCACCTCTGTGGTAGTGCACCGATATCCCTTTCTCTTGAGCACATGGCAGATGACCACCCCAAGCAGCCCCAGTAGAAAGAAGATGGGCACCAGCACGAAGGCCGTGTAGTCGGGGTTGATCTCCCCCTCGGCCCCGTCACCTTTCCGGGTAACTGTCGTCTGAGTGGCTGGAGGGCGAAGAGAAAGATGGGCTGAGAGAGGGCAAGTAACCTGATCCTTGAACCGGAGAGATGTGCGAGTGGCACATTTTGGAGGTCAACGTCGTGGAGGAATAGATGGAAATCGGCTTAATCGGCAAACACATTGGATATAAAAAGTGGACACACCCCTGTTCAAAAGCCAGGTTTTTGAGATGTTAAAAAAAAAAAGTTTCACAACTTTTTTCCCCTCTTTATGTGACATGTAAGATATATAGCTCAAGGGACTTTTTTCAGAATGTCAAAAATAAAAAAATATCTCAGTTTAAAATAATTGCAAAAGTGTGCACCCTCTTTTAACCGTGGATCTGGCTGTGTTCACAATCAATGAGTCATAGTCAAACTCATATGACATGGTCTGTATCTATTTAAAGTGACTACTTAACGCCAAATCAACTTTAGATGTTCTAGTAAGCATTTCCTATTTATTTTGTTTGTTTGTTTTGCCCCCTAGCAGAAGTCTGAAGGTTTTGTGCGAACACTGACTACTCTTTCAAAAACATGGCATTCCAAAAGGAACTTCATATCAACTTTAGATGCAGAAGTAGACGCCATATTGGTGGAATTTTCCCGCGTAACAAATAAATTGGCAAAAACAAAAAACAAAACAATTAAGGATGTTCTATACCACTTTTTTTCCAGACCTATACCAACCAGTATGAGTACTCACTCTTTGACTACTCACGGTTATCAAGAACCAATTCCTCCAATCCTTTCTAGACATTTCTTTCTGACGCAGATAATGACTCGCCAAATGTGTCAAACTGCCGCAGTATCGCACCAGTTACTGCCGAAGAGGATTTACAAAATGTCAGATTTTTTTGGGGGGTGGGGAGCTGGTATCGGCAGCCTCCACGGGTACCAGATGAGCCTTTATGGAGACTTCTTCCTTCTTTCTTTCTTTTCTGATTGATATAAAAATGATCTATTTATATATAAATACATAACATGGGGTAGGACTAGATACGTTTTTTACTTCTTCCTACTCCTTTGAACATAATAATTGTGTTGTATGATGACTGATTTCTCTTTCCTTTTTACTATTTTACTTACCTTACTTTCTGTCAATTTATTACTGTATATGTTATGTTCAATAAACAAACAAACAAACAAACACATTTGAAACACGACGCTGATTATGATCCGTTGACATCTCGGAATTTTGGCCAGCCCGAAAAATTGGTGGATATTTTTTCACTGAAATTTGTCAGCGAATGATGTTGAGAAATGCAGAAGTTGTACCGGTGTACTCAGTTTGAAAGTGTTTTTTTACCACATTTTCTAAAGGTGATATCACACAAAAACATTGCTCAACCCCCACCCCCAACCAAAAGCTCAATTTGTAGCTCTATCTGATCTTGAAAATTCTTGCTACTTTCTACACAGATTGAAGTGGTCTTTCCAAAAAGACTTTGCATTTTGACAGATTTTCTTTTTTTGGGGGGGGGGGGGCAATCCTGTCACGCTGCTCTAACGCAGGCTTTGGTCTGCTTGCGAACTTACTCACATATGTGCAATTCCATTGTTACACTTGCATGAATTTTGCTCAGATTAGCAAACATTGTTTTCTCAGTGGGCCTCCTGTGACCGCTATGCATCATCTATGAGTGTGGCGTAACCAGACTGGCCATGCTTGATGTGTATGATTAGATGCTTATCGACAACCAACACAGGAGTGAGCGTCATGATCTAGTAGTTGACCTTTAGGAGTCTCGGTTTTCGAGCTTTCAAACACGGCCTTCATCTTCCAAGACTGAGACATCATGGAGACTTTCAAGCCTCAATAGCACATTTCCTCAGGAACCTCAAACGACGCTTGCTGTGTCAGGGATTGAGCACGAGCTTCCCTTTTATTTGCAGAAAGATTCCGTGTTATGCGAGTGACAACGCTCGGTTTAAAGCAGAGGTAAAATACATCTCAAGATGCGCATCACCTATGCAAATTAACCTTGATCTTGTATTCTCCAAGAACTTTATTCAGAACAACTTTTCAACATCAGGGTCATACTCCCTGCGCCACGATGTACCTCTACTGCAGCGGAAGAAAATATGGAAAATATACACGAGGCAGTCGACTAACACGCACGCCGTTGAACAAGCCTTGAAGATGAGACACATACCCGTGACCACCGGCGGGCCGTCCATGGGTGAAAGTGGCGGCGGCGTCGGCAGCTGGCCGAGATGCTGGTGACGTTTCTCGCAGCCTCGCCTTCGACCTCCGCGATCACACACACGTACAACCAGCCTAGCTTGAGGAGGGACTTTTTTTTAACCAAACATAAACGTACTTCCTGATTCCTGAGGAGCGGACACGCCCTGCTCTTAAAGAGACATGCACATTTTGACAGCCACCACATTGTCAGTGCAGAAAAAAAAGAGTGGAAAAAGCATAATATAATTGACAGCTTAATGACTGCCCATATGAGGTGAGTTTTTTATGAAATGTTTGTTGAGAATGACACACCCTTGGTAGCAAATGAAGAAAATGTGCCACGTTATAATTGTGTGGAAACGACCGCAAACACGTCTGCTAATCTGTCCAAATAGGCAGATCCACTAAAAACACGACGAGTTCATTCGGCGCATAGCACAATCACTTACCAACCAGAAGGGGGAGCCAGACATTAGTGTACAGCCATCTATCAACTCTACACTGCAATATTAATTTCACATTACTGAAGAATCCGATCAACGAGTAATAAATGTGTTGTTACCAAACCATAAAACACATCCATACCTAGAACATATTTAGCATTACGGAAAACCATGTGTGGAAAAATGAAAACTTATTTAGAAACAGTCCAAACACCAAATTTCGTTATGAATGTAAATATATGTGTGTAAATCATTTACTTGTTGTGGTGCCATGGTTTAATAGTACATGAGTCACCTATTTACTCCCTGACACGGCTCGAAGTGCCCTAGATCTGCTCTGTTTACAGCCACAGAACTGCCACACCGCCTGCCACGTGCTTTGAGAAGTGGGGGAGCAGAAGGAATGACGTCAGCGCCAGAGAGCACGTTGAAATGTGTCTGCACTGCCCGTAAGACCGAAATAAAACGCATTGAGGAATTTGCCCCTGATACATGTATGCACATAAAATAACGAACACTAATTTTTTTCAGTTGACTTTGTTTATCAAGAGAGGAAAAACATCAAGGAAAGACACTGTTATGAAAAGAAAACGTAGGACAATCCCTTTGTGAAATTTGTTTGGGCCTCACACGTTTGGTATTACGGTAAACAAAGAGCGCAAGGCGCCGCCCTCTCACGTTTCTGCGCTGTTGGGAAATGAACTCGGGAGCAGTCAGTTTGCAACGTGACAAGCGAGCCCCGTGCTCCGAGCCCCGCCCCGCTCGTCCAATAGAACGCGCCTGGCCCCTTTTATGGGCGTGGCATAAGGTGTGCCGACGTCCAATGAGGGCGTTCGACTCGCTCGCCCATGCATCCTCACGTGTATTGGCGCGCGTACACTCCTGTATGGGGGCTGGGACGAGTTGCAATCGCAAGATGTCGACTGAGAAAGCAACTGCTTACAAACACGCAGTCACTACCCTTGGGGATATTTGATGCATTGACACGATGTTTTGGATACGTGGAATATAAGATCGGCTGATATATTTTCAACGGAGATTTAAAAAGGTACGTTGTCGACTTCTGAGTTCAGTTCTTCCTTTTGGCTTAGCGCTAGCATGCTAACACGTTAGCCGTCAGATAGATCAGGATAATAACAAATAGCACAGAAACCTATCCCTACAATGTACGATATCCCTTAAAAAATATAATACATCTTGAGTAGTGCGTTGTTTGTTCTAGAGAATGCTTTCAGCAAATACTTAATTTTAAAACTAGGATACAGAAAAAAATGTGACTTTGGGAGTTAACGGTGTTCTATTTTGCAAGCAGCGTGCATTGTGATTCTAATCATCGCAATCACGTCGATTGTTTTCACGGGCATTTTACCGTCGGTAGAACAAAATTGCCTCTTCAATAATTCGTGAATAAGATGATCATCACTGCACATTAACACGTTGAATGTTGATTTTTCGATGTTTACTGGTGGAGACTGTTCTCTGACACATATAGCAAGCTGCGTTTACCTTTGACATTAGAGAAACAAAATCGTGATTCGACCACGTTATTCAAAAACACTCTTTGTACCGTACTGTTTTCTATTTTGGAATCTGATGTTCGCTTCTTTTAGACGTATTACAGCTTGGTGAATGTGTGCTGGTATAAAACTTTATTGTTGCTCACACCTTCCATCTATTGGTAGACCGCGCAAGCCTGCACGCCAATCAAAACATGTGTCGAGCTTTAACGTACAGTATTGCACATCTTGTACCCAAGCTGCAACCCGTCGTTCATCGTGCACTTGGCAATGAAGCTTCTGTGTTTTTTTATCGGCAACTGAATTCTCACACCAATATCAGTTGTAGCTGCAATGGGCATTGAAAATATGCATGTTTTACATTACGTGTGAAGTCTGCATGTGGCTTCAGTCTCCTAAACATTATTTGAATCTCTATATAAGACCCACAATGTAGGTTTTATATCCTATAACATGATTGTGATTTGAAATGCTGAGCAACTGCAAAGCTTTCAACCATGACCTGGGATCAGACGGCATACGGCCAGAATACAGGCGAGCAAGGCGAGGGGGCGGGGCTAAGGCAGGCCAATGACAGGTTGTGGCTCTGCGGCGCACGCTCCGATTGGTCTGGGCCGCTAGCCAACCAGGAGTCGTGAACGGCTGTGGAAAACGTTGCCGCGTACACGTGCCTGCTGTCCGGGGCTTGTAAAGAGTTGCAGTTTCGGCTTTGCTGTCGGCCGATATCATGGGATGCATTTGAAAACATGCATCGCGGCTCGTCTCGATATAAAACTTTATAGCACTATACGTCTGGACATGCTCACATGTACCCGCACGGTGCTGACCCCACCCCGCCCCCCAGCATCCGCACGTACTGTACACTCCTCCCCGCAGCCGAGCTTTTGTACACAACGACAGGGAAGTGTCACAAGTCAAGTGTCCAGCTCCGTTCGCAGCATGTGCCCGTGTCACATCGTCTTTTCACACGCACGCAGACAGTGTCATAGCACTTGTAACTGCATGGAGAACATGTCCAGAAAGGTCGAGATATTTTGGGCTCTGCGTACTACTCGCATATCGGATACATATTGGGGAATAAAAGGCAGACTGTCCAACAAGAACTCAGAGCCCACCCAAGGCCTAAGAGATCAAAGCACCTGCCTTGGCCCCTGCGACCAATTAGCAGTCAGGCAGATTATTTTTAAAAAGAGGTCGCAGTGGCTCAACTCACTTCACAACAAGCAGCAGTTTGGCGGGTCATGTGAAATTCTTCCAGAAATAGTCTTCGAACCGTGTGTTGCCGCTCTCAGTTGAAGTTTGCTGTCAAATTAAATGTAAAATTAGGAGCATTACTCATTGTGTATTTAAAACAATCACATAGCCTCCGCTGGCTGAATTCTGGGCAACTCAATAGGCACACAGGCTAACATTTTGCATCGGTGCGTATTTTACTCTTTGAGCAACGGACGTGAAAACAACACATTTAGACAGATATATAAGAATACTCACCGGCATATATTCTTTATCCGCTGCAAAGAAAGTTTAACATTTACGCATCAAATTGAAGCAAAAATTGTGACAAAATGGTCTCATTCTTTGTATTTTGTTTATGACACCACTGTGTTTATATAGAATACAATATTTCAGTGATTTTTTTTTCTCATTAAAAAACATGTTAAAAACTTTTTTTTTTACATTAATGGATTAATGACATTTCCATTAACCATCGTGGTCACCGAAGGAATTAAACTCATGTCCCAAAGTGCCACCATATATCGGGCTGGCCCCACATTTGAGAATCTCGGATATTAGACATGTGCAAATCTTACACGGTGCATATCTGGTGAATGATTTGTCTGGCAGAGTGTCATGGCCGTTTAGCATTCCGGCCTCATCATCTTTGCTTTAAACCACCGAGGCCCGTTGAAGTCCGCATGGATGACAGCCGGCCTCGACACCCACTCGCATGCACCGCTTGCATATTTCCCGGCCATACTTGCATGCCCAACTGTTCGGCTGCGGCGCACACATTTTGACATGTGCAAAATGTGCATCATCACTCTGACCAATCTGAGCGCTCATTCCACACTGGACCGGAGACCATCGCAATCGCAGCAAACACGTTGGCCTTTGCTGCATGTTTTCCATGTGGATGTGAGGGCTGATCAATTAATCAAATTCAAATTGATATCGCAATGCAGCCGAATGCCATTTTCAAATTATCCAGACTACAATTTGAACACGACAACATCTTGCTTGTGTTTGTTTAAAAGGACATGGGAAGAGGACTTTGAAGAAAATAATCACCAAGTCAATCGCAATGGCAATTTTGGGGGGAGGTTGTAATTAGAATAGTTTTCAAAATTTGACCAGCGCCAGTGTCCAAGTTAATGTTGTGCCTCGAGTTACATAATAACTCCTCTGACACTCACAACCCGTTCTAGCCGCGACTGGCCGTGGTGACACGACAGTAGGCGTACATGACCAAAAATCTCCTTCTAAAGACGGAGTTGTTGGGTCATGCGAGCGCATAAATTGGAAAGTAGTGACGCCCGGGATGTCGTCTTCTTTGCGTCTGTGGGGTTTAAGAGATTACGGGGCGTCTCCCTTCCCGAAGGAATAAATAGCAGGAGACTTTCACTTGCGTAGGTGGTGTCCAGATATATACCTGAGGATGCAAACCTCTGTTTATTAGCAGATTATCTATTACAGACAGTCCCTCCTCCTGTTTGTAGGTGATTGTCCTCTGAGTCAAAGGGGCCTAAGCTATGACGACTGACACTAACGCATGTCCGCCTGTTCTATAAGGAGACGCGAGCGTACGCATTTGCAGTTTGGAAATAGGAGCGGGCCTGATGTTCTCAAAGGCCTTTTCATTGGCGTTAATCTGGGCGGAAGGGCAAGCATTCGGAACCGCGGTGTGAACATGACACAGCCGCGGTTGCGGGAGGCCGACGTGATGATAAACTAGTTTGTTTTCGTCTTTGGAAGATAGTTGCCAAAGCACGCTAGTCATTGCGCAACAATGCCGCGCGGCATCTGAAGTCAAAACGCCTTCGCTTTCTTTGCCCAATTCTGTTTTTCTGTCTTCTTAGGTGTCCTTCGCGTTGCCTGCAAACACATCTCAGGAGGTGAAAGAACCAGATACACGCTGAAACGAGTGTCTCTCTCAACTGTCTGCGTGCCCGTGCCAAGGCCGTCTCACGCGAGATGAAAGCATCTCAGCCCTAAATTTCACACATTCATTTTTTGCACGACAAACCATGACTTTCTCCCCTGAGTTGATTACATAAGGCAGCCATCAGCTATGATTCACTTGTACGCACATAGCAGTCCCACCTAAGTCGACGCCGTGTCGAACTGTTTCCTCGGCTGACACCTCAAACCAGCAGCGCAAGCCTCATCCTAGTCTAGTATGAGTTATGACATCACTCAGTCAGCGGCCAGCAGCAACGCTCGGGGGCGAGCGCCGAGGGCTGCCGAGAAAGACACCGGCCAGGAGGCCGACTCCAAACAGCCAAAGGCCGGCGCCAATGTCTCTGCTCCGGAGCACGGAAACAGGGCCGGGGGCGTGTCCTCCCCCAGCGAAGGATCGGGAGCCGGCGATCAGAGGGGGCCCAACTCGGACGACATGGACGGCGGCCTCTCCAGCGGCAACGACTCCGGCGAGAGGGACATGGGCTCCCGCGGGCGCCAGTCCACCCGCAGCTCGCACGGTTCGTCCAACGGCAAGGACTCGGGCATGATGCTGGAGACCACAGAGAGCCACAAGAGGTAAGCGGGCAACTTCGTCAGCTTGCTGCTCGGAAGCAGAAGGAAGCTCGCTTCGGTCTCAACGGCCGCCGCTCTTTGCAGCTCCAACTCGCAGAGCCTGTCGCCGCCGAGCGGCTCGCTGGCCTACAGCCTGCTGTCTACCAGCTCCGAACACGACCCGCCCTCCACATCTGGCTGCAGCAGCAATCAGTCGGCGAGGGTCCAGACCCAGAAGGAGCTCATGAAGGCCATCAAGGAGCTCAAGCTGCGCTTGCCAGCGGAGCGCAAGTCCAAGGGCCACTCCAGCACTCTCAATGCACTCAAGTACGCCCTGCAGTGTGTCAGACAAGTCCGAGGTGAGATCCTCAACAGATGAATAAACACTTCTTACGTTATCCTCTTCGGGAAATTAAATTGTCACTGCGGCAATATTCACACTCGTGTTTAGGCCCGGACTTTGTAATATGGACTTGTGGCAAATTCCCGCTGGGCCAGGCTGCCGCTACTCCGGCCCGCCCATTAGTTTCTTCCAACCCGCGCGCATTATTAGTTCCTTCTGCCGTGTGGGTCCTTTTCGAAATGAGTAAATAATAATGCGTCCATAACGCTTGAACATTCAGTTGGAAATGCAATATGAATATCCTTGGAGAGAATGTATTATTCTGATCGTTTTAAACTGATCCACAAAGCGAACCCTGCAACTCAAGGGCTGAAAATGAGTGCCACTCTCCTCGTATTGATAAAATAAAAAGAAGCAAAAGTGCCTGGAATTGTACACCTCAGGATCGTCGGACTCGGTGCTGATGTACCGCGTGCCGTTTTGTGTGTCCAGCCAACAAGGAGTATTATCACCAGTGGAGTGTGGAAGAGTGTCACGGTTGTAGCCTGGACTTGTCTGCCTTCACCATCGAGGAGCTGGACAACATCACTTCGGAATACACACTAAAGAACACGGTAAGTTCACGCGTGGGCCAAAAAGAAAGTCACCAGTCCAGTTTGAAGCGAACGTCTAAATGGATGCCCTCCTTTTCCCCAGGACACGTTCTCAATGGCGGTCTCCTTTCTGTCCGGGAAAGTGGTGTACGTGTCACCTCAGGGATCGTCGGTGCTGCGCTGCAAGCCCGAGTGTCTCCAGGGCACGATGTTTTCGGAGCTTTTGGCTCCGCAGGACATCAGCACTTTCTACAGCGGCACGGCGCCTTGCCGCCTGCCCTTATGGGCGTCCTGCATCGGATCCGGTGAGCCGGCGGGGCACACTGGCGCGAGCGCCCGCTCCTGCCGCGACCAGTCGGCAATCGTTTTTTTTTTGACCGTCCCCTTGCTCCCCCCTCAGCCTCGCCCGCGATGGACTGCACTCAGGAAAAGTCCATGTTCTGTCGAATCAGCGCCGACCGGACGCAGGGCGGCGAGATGCGCTATTATCCGTTTCGCCTGACGCCCTACCAGCTGACCATCAGGGATTCGGATACCGCCGAACCGCAGCCGTGTTGCCTGCTCATCGCGGAGAGGGTCCACTCTGGATACGAGGGTACTATTGAACTTGTCATTCTGACCTACTACAGTCCTATTTGGCAGCGCAAAAAAAAAACCCCAAAACCAAAACAAATGAGCGAGCTTGTGAATCGTGAACCGCAAGCGTGCGCGGGATTACGAGCGCATGCTAAACACCCAGTCCGCGCTCTGTTTTCACTGTCGGCTGCGAGGCGCGGATAATGAACGTAATGTCACACTAACCCAGCCCTCGCCGCGCCACAATGAGAAAAAAACATTCTCATCTCGGGAGTGCGATGACTTCACGCGTTTTTTTTTTTTTCCTCACGTGGTTGCAGAAAGGCGACAACACACTCCGCGTCTCGCCCGTTTGAAACACGCAAATTCATTTGCTACAAGCGCGTACAGAGCCCGGGATGCAACGTGCGAGCGCTGACATGTGAGCGCTGGGCTTATGTCTAAACATTGCCCCCCCCCCTTCCCTGGCATGTTCCCCCGTCAGCACCTCGGATCCCTCCTGACAAGAGGATCTTCACCACCAGTCACACTCCCAGCTGCCTCTTCCAGGAAGTCGACGAGAGGTCAGTTTCCTCACCTTTGATGACGCCGTTACGGCTGTGCCGCCTTCTGCCGCGTTTGGCTGCCATCTGCGCTCTGCCGGCTGCCGGTCTGAATCCGTTCCACGTCCTCCTGTTATGTATTGATGATGACCTGCGTGCAGGGCGGTGCCATTGTTGGGATATCTGCCACAGGACTTGGTGGGAACCCCGACTTTGCTTTACATCCACCCCGAAGACAGGCCCACTATGGTGGCCATACACGAGAAGAGTGAGTGGAACGCGCGTTGAAATGTTGTCACAAAATCCCCCGCCGGCATCCCTCTGACGATCGTCTCCCGGCAGTCTTTCAGTTTGCCGGCCAGCCGTTCGAGTATTCGCCGTTGAGGATGTGCGCCCGCAGCGGGGAATACTTAACCATCGACACCAGCTGGTCTTCCTTTGTCAACCCTTGGAGCCGCAAGGTGGCCTTCATCGTAGGGCGCCACAAAGTCCGAACGTAAGCGACCGCCACTTACCGACCGACGAAAAGTGAGCGCGCTACGAGGTACAAGGCAGCATTCTCTCCGTCTCCAGGAGCCCGCTGAACGAGGACGTGTTCACGGCGCCGGGCTGCGAGGGCCGCGCCACCACGCCCGACATCGTGCAGCTCAGCGAGCAGATCCACCGTCTGCTGGTGCAGCCGGTGCACAGCGGCGGGTCGCAGGGTTACAGCTCGCTGGGCTCCAGCGGCTCACGGGGCTCGCGCCACTCGCAGCCGCAGCATCTCGGCGCCTCGGCCGCCTCCTCCAGCGACAGCAACGGACCCGCCATGGACGACGCCGCGGCTGCGGTCGCCTTACACAAGCCCGTGAGTTGGAAGTGTCGCTCACTTGCATTGCCGGCGCCGGTCCGAGTGAGCTAATTGGGGTTGGTGTGCATTTGGTCGCGGCAGATGACCTTCCAGCAGATCTGCAAAGATGTTCACATGGTCAAGACTAATGGGCAGCAAGTTTTCATCGAGTCTCGAAACAGGCCGCCGGCGAGAAAAAACACCAGCACAGGTAATGTGAAAAACAACAACCATAAAAAACACACCCTTGGTATGAATCATTTAGCGAAACATCTTGGAAAGAGGCTCTGAAGTGGCGTTTTTGTTGACTTTAGTTGCCACAAGCAGTCTGAGAGACATCAACAGCGACCCCATTCGCGGCCTCATTGCTGACATGACCAAACCACTGAAAGATTTGGTGCCTGCGCCGCTTGTACAGAAAGAGTCCCCACCTGGATATTCCTACCAACAGATCAACTGTCTGGACAGCATCATAAGGTCAGAACCAAAATCCCAATCAGCTTTTCATTTGACTTTACAGTCCATACTCACTGATCCTCTTGAACACGCCATCCAGGTACCTGGAAAGCTGCAACATTCCCAATACGATCAAAAGAAAGTGCGGCTCCTCCTCCTGCACATCCGCTTCCGACGAAGACAAGCAGGAAGCCGGCGGCAACGCCAAAGGTCAGCGTCGGAATCCATTCCGCCGCTTGTCCCGTCTGTGCGTTGTGTCACATTTGTGACTTGACTCCTGCAGGTGCGTCAGTTAGCTTGGTAGGCGAAGCCCCTCCGCTGCCCCCGCTGACGTTGGCCATGAAGGCGGAGAGCGTGGCCTCCGTCACGTCCCAGTGTAGCTTCAGTAGCACCATCGTGCACGTGGGAGACAAGAAGCCGCCCGAATCAGGTCGGGAAACACAGCAGTTGTCAGAAAGATTGTGCATATTAATTGTAATACTGAGGTGTGTGGGTGTGGGGGTGGGGGTGTCACATTTAGGTTATTTTTCAAAACCGTTCATCCTGACAAGGTGATTAGAGAAATCTGCGAGCAAAAATGTTGAAAGTTTCATTTAATGTGGGCATGTCAAGACGTTTGGGTGCGTATTCAGTGCGCCCCCAAATGCCTGTGCGCAAAGATATCGGTCGTCTGGGCGGAGGGCTTTTGAAGTCCACAGTTATCAACGTCAAAGCAAAGGGGGCGAACAGATGGAAGAAGGTCACAAAGTGGGAATCAACATTTTGTGAACAAAGTGTTGCAGAACATCAAAAGACGGTTTGGGAACGGGGTGTCGCGCCCAGGCGGACATTTGTCATCTGCGAAGTCTACAACTTGTTGATTCGTTGAAGACCAGACTGAAAAGTGTCAACATATCTGTGGTTCAAAGCTTAAACCAAGGGAATCAGATCACAATCTTCCCTGTGTGCCGAGTCATTTGTTGAACTTTGTCCGAAGAAAAACTCTGACACAAGGTACCAAACAAATATAAGTAGGTTGACTGGAACATTTTTTTTTTTCCTGTTTGTTTGACAGACATCGTGATGGAGGAGGCTCCGAGCACTCCGACACACGCTCCCCCCACCCTCATTCCAACTGCGCTCTCCAGTGGGCCTCCTACCATATATATTCCTCCTCCGCCTCCTCCTCCCCCTCCTCCCCCGCCTCCTCCCATCGCTCCCCTCCCTCAAGCTACGCCGCCAACTCAGCCGGAGAGGGACAGCCGGCACGGCGGGGGCGGCGCAGCGTTGGCAGGCGGGGGCGGCCGGCTGGGTCTGACGAAGGAGGTGCTGTCGGCGCACACGCAGCAGGAGGAGCAGGCCTTCCTGGACCGCTTCAAGGACCTCAGCAAGCTGCGCGTCTTCGATCAGACGGCGTCTTCGACCGTGCGCTGCCACACGCCCGCCGGCAACCCTCTGGCGCGAGGTACGCTCTTTTAACTTCTGCGGCACGTCGGTTTAAAACTAAACGATTGTCTTCGTCGCGTGTCCTTTAGGGGTGCGTTGCTCTCGTGACTACCCGGCCGCAGGGGGCGGCTCCAGTCACAGATGCGGCCGTGGCGGCAAGCGGCTCAAGCACCAGGAGTCCTCTGACAGGCACAGCTCTCTGGGACTCACGGGGATGCACCAAGACCTCAGAACCAGAGCGGCGGCCGGGCCCCTCAACGTGCCGCTGGGAGCCCCCACAAATTCCTCCTCCTGGCCGTCGGTTTGCTCTCAGCCCAGCCATCCCTCGGCCCCGTTCGCACCCGGCATGGTTCCGATCTACCCGGTCTACCCGCCGCTCTCTCAGCCCTTAGCCGTGCCAGATGCGTCACGTTTCCCCCCGACGCCAATGGTGCCCCCCATGATGGCCTTGGTTCTTCCCAACTACATGTTCCCTCCGATGGGGGCGCCCATGCCCCAGCAAGGCGCCACACCCATGCCGTTTTTCGGTCAAAACTTGAATTACCCCAGCGCCCCCCAAGCCCCGGTCCCCGCGGCCGTTTGCAACCCCGCGTCCATTCCCGGCATGGGCGCGCCATCTCGAAGCAGCACTCCCCAGTCCTGCACTCAGACCCCCGCCGATCGCGAGGGTGCAGAGTCCCCCCTTTTCCAGTCCCGATGCTCCTCCCCCCTCAATTTGTTGCAGCTGGAAGAGTCGCCAAGCAACCGGTTAGAGTCCGCCACCGTGCTGGCGGCCGCACAGCAGGCTCCGCCCACCGTGCAGGGCGGCCCGGCCGGCGTGCAGAGTTCAGCCAATCAAAGGAACTCTGATGATAACACCAAGGAGAATGAGAATGTAAGTACAGTGTTCATCACGGATGTGCTACATTGACATTTGTGTGTGTGTGTGTGTGTGTGTGTGTGTGTGTGTGTGTGTGTGTGTGTGTGTGTGTGTGCGCGTGTGTGTGTGTGCGTGTGCATGCGTGCGTGTGTGTTGAACAATCTGGACCATATGAAGGTTGTTATAGATAAAATGAAAATGAACAAATTAATTACAGGTAAAATTGGAAAACAAATCTCAAATAATCAGAGAGAAAGTTTGCGTCTGTCAAGCTCACGCGTGAGTTTTTGAGGTTCATTTTAAATGTATTTAGTTCGGTATCGCTGTACGGAAGAAGGATGGGCAGTCACTTGAGAATTGTAGTTTGTCTTTTTTTTTTTATGACCTCGCACTCGACAAACACACCATTAAAAAACAAACAAACAAATAAATGAAAGTGAAGCATTTTGGAAAAAAAAAGATAAAAACCTGCTCTAAAACCTAATTAAAACAAATTGCATTAAAAAAAAAAGTCAAACTAAATAAAACGAACTATCATGAAAATTCCCAAATTATTCTCACCCTGGAAAATCTCCCCCAAAAAAGGAATGTTGACCTTTGCTTGCATCACAGGGGGAAGCTAATGAGTCCAACAACGACGCCATGTCGACTTCCAGCGACCTGCTGGACCTGCTGCTGCAGGAAGACTCGCGCTCGGGAACCGGCTCTGCTGCCTCCGGATCTGGGTCATCGGGCACCAGGTCCTCGGGTTCTGGCTCCGGCTCTAACGGATGCTGCTCCTCTGGCACCAGTGGCACCAGTTAGTAGAGATCCATTACCGTCATTGAATTATCGTTACAGAGTACAGACACATTCTTTCTCGTCAGAGGACAAAAAAAAAAAAAACAACAATATAATGAAGTTGACTCTGGCTCAGCATTCACATTTCCTCCTTTGTAATTTGTGCCCATCTAGGTAGTAGCCAGGGCAGCCACACCAGCAAATATTTTGGTAGCATTGACTCATTGGAGAACGACCACGCCCGCAAGCAGCCAGCGGGGGGCAGCGGCACCGGTGGCGACAGCGGCGAGGAGCAGTTCATCAAATGTGTCTTGCAGGACCCCATTTGGCTGCTGATGGCCAACACGGACGACAAGGTCATGATGACCTACCAGCTGCCTATCAGGTACCGCCGTCGGCCAAAAGGATCGGTTTGGCTGCGTGTGATGCCACGTGACTTCGCCCCTCATGTCATTTTCTCACCGCGGTGTTAACAGGGACGTGGAGGCGGTGCTGCGTGAGGATCGCGAGGCGCTGAGGAGCATGCAGAAGCATCAGCCTCGCTTCACGGAGGAACAGAAGAGGGAGCTGAGCCAGGTGCACCCTTGGGTGCGCACGGGACGCCTGCCCAGAGCCATCAACATCTCCGTGAGTATGCTAACTCCCGCTTAATCGAGGTGGCGGACGCAAGTCACAATGACTTGAGCAAACGGACTTGAGTCGCTTGTTTTCGGAAGGTGCACCAATTATTTCCCACTGCAAAGGGGCTGAAACGATTAAACGCTAACATTTGTTTAAAAAAATCATAAAATCTAACTTATTAATGACTGTCCATGAAAATAACCTCTAAACATTGCTTGCTAATTTAAGGTAGCCTACCACTGCTAATTGGAACATCATGTAATGCCCCCTCAAGTGTTCAAAGATAGATACAGTGGCCAGAACACTTTCAATTAACTCTCAACCACTCTCTCATTTGTCGACACCCACGTCACTCACCAGTCTAGACATCGGCTTTTAAGGCCACGTGCCGCTCAAAGTCCCAAAATTACAACGTAAAACGTGAAAATCTCGGAGCCAAGTCATGACTTGACTCCGCTCGCTTCAAATGTGGTGGTGACGCGACATGACGTGCTTAATTTTTTAATTTTTGTCATTTGGGGGCCTCGAGTTTTGCATATATGACTCAGACGTATTCCTTTGCGCCTCTCAGGGCTGCGCAGGCTGCAAGTCTCCCGCGTCGGTCCGCCACGCCGCCGCCCCCTTCGACGTGGAGATCAACGAGATGGAGCTTTGCAGCATCCTGAAGACACCAAAGGAGGGCGCCACCAAGGTCAAGAAAAGCTCGTCAGAGGCGGCCATGGATGAACAACCCCCTGACGAGGACGACGACGACGATGAGGAAGACGAGGGGGAGGAGGAAGAAGGCAAAACACAAGAAAGCGGCCAAGCGGTGACCGCAGACGAACTGAGAGCCACGTCGGGGGCGGCGGAGGACACCGCTCGACCGCCACAGTCTGACATGAATCACTAAGCGGCCAAAGACGAAGTATTAAGCACTACTGTTTATAACTTTTAATGTGTACCTTCCTGAAGTACACCTACGGTGACATCATGACACAAGATGAGCGACGCCAATATTGAGCACTCGGATTTACGACTCCTTGTCTAAACTAATTCCTGACTGTCGCTTACGTCGTATGACATCACGCGAGAGGCGCCACGGACTCCACACGACGCGCCTTCCGCCTCCTCTCTTGTAGGTCATATTTATTTCAGTCGGAAGAGGCGTCACAAAAAACAAAAAAAAAAAATGCACCTTTTTGATGTACAGATGGATGTGCTTCACCAATGTCCCGTGTGATGTTCACGTCCGTGACGTCTCACTATGAATGTCGCTGGGCTTCTCTGTTGCTCCTTATCACATCGGCTCGTGTACATAAATCGGACGCGAAAATGCACAGTCCCGCGAAAGACGGGCTGACTTTATTTTGTAAAAATGTGTATATTTTTATATGTTCACCCAATTGCGAGTTGAGAGTTGATGACTGGCCCGAGCTGTGTGACGTTTCAAAAGTTTATTCAAGCAGGCCTCACTTGAGGTGCAGGAAAGAAAAAGCGCGCAAGTGTGGTGAAGTGTTTCTTTGCAAGAGGATGGAAAAAAAAATCATAAAATAAAAATCCCGTTGACGTTTTCCTTTTTTGTCTCTATCGTGGTCATGTGATATTCGGTTTCTTCATGGCATCGCTGCTGTTTACAACAGTTGCTCAATATTTTTGTGAAATTTGTACAAAAAAAAAAAAAGAGACAATAAAAGGACTTGAAATATGATTTTCCTTCCTTCCTGTGTTTCCCCCTTTTTTTTTTTCCATTTCTGGTGAAATTATCAGCACTCAATTTCTTTGCGAGGTTTGGCGTGGGCACAAGCAAGTGTCCGGAGCAAGCAAGAAACAGCAAATTCAGCTGTGGTTTGCAGCCACAGCTTAAAAAAGACAAAAGGAATGCCCTTGTTTGGACTAAGCAAGCAGGCCAAATCCACTGCACGTGTGCATTTCTTGACAATAGTGACAATACGATACAAGGAACCCCCGAGCTCACGAATATTGCTCACATTTTTTTTTTCTTCACGATTTTGTTGACAACTCACATAAGGACTTCTCGCAAGGACTACTGACAGTTTCTGGCATGTGCGATATGTGCGGCCGCACAGGACGGCATCGCTGGAGTGACGGCACGTGTGCATTTCTTGACAATAGTGACAATACGATACAAGGAACCCCCGAGCTTACGAATATTGCTCACATTTTTTTTTTCCTTAAAGATTTTATTGACAACTCACATAAGGACTTCTCGCAAGGACTACTGACAGTTTCTGGCATGTGCGATATGTGCGGCCGCACAGAACGGCATCACCTGGAGTGACATTGACACCCAAACCAGGTTTTCTTCGGTGTATCGATTGCATCGTTGGCGCTCCGTTGCCTTGTCGCATATTGCACGGCCGCTAGGGGGCCTCGGTCAACTCAACGTTTCACAGCCCCTTCGCGACATCACTGTGGCTCAACTGCAGTGCGAGCATGTGAAAGGCTTGACTGTAGTATAGTGCGGTCATGAACACACGCACCCAACAGTGGCACTCTGTCTGACACACACACACACATCTGAAGAAAAAAAAAAAAACATGCAGCATCACTGTACATGAGTGGACCTCTCCAAACCCCTCAGCCTTCACTTCCTCCTTTCCTCTCCACCCTCTGCCCTGCTTGTCCCTCCTTCCTGCTCCCAACCGCCACCTCCACCACCGCCGCTGTCGCCGTCTTTCCAAATCTCAAAGAGGTGCAGCGGGATGGAGGTCAGGGTGTGGACCGTGTGTGTGCTTTTCGCGTTGGAGCTCGGATGGACGGCCGCTCAGAGTCACACCAACTACACCAGGTGAGTTCTTGTCTTGGTCTATCTACTGCAGGGACCGAGAGTGTTGTCTTTGTCACATGTGTACATGTGGCAGCCTGGCTTTCAAACTCACTGATGTGGAGGTCAGCGGCTGTGTGTGTGCGCGTCAGAAAATTGCAGGCTGCAGCTTTTCAACGATGCGGTTGACTTGTCAGAGAGGCAACGTACCCGTGATGCTTTTCCACATCACACTTTGGCTACGTATGGTCAAACTAAACTTGAAAATGAACTTTCCCATTATACTGTGCAACCATTTTTTTTTAATCAGAGATCCAAATCAACTTTTCAAGATTTCCAGGGCCGCTGCTTTTGAATCAGCCTTGTTTTTTTTTTCTCGAACACATCAGGTTTCCATAATAATAATAATAATTATTATCATTATTGTTTTGAATTGAGGGATGAATTCAGCAACACGTGGATTTTTTTTTTTCTCGAACACATCAGGTTTCCATAATAATATTAATTATTATTCTTATTGTTTTGAATTGAGGGTTGAATTCAGCAACACGTGGATTTTTTTTTTTTTCCGAAACGTCATAGCTATAAAGTACATCTGGTAAAATCCGTACTGTGAAAGCTTTTATAGGTAAACTTAGAAACCAAAACATAGCTCAACAACCCGATGTGCTCGGCAAAAAGTAGAGACATTTTTAACATCAGCGTCCAAAATACTTTTCGGGCCACATGAAAGCCATCTCTGATTAGAATGTGTTCACCAGTGTTATTTTTAGTCCCGATTGAACCACGATGTTGAAGTAACTGTACGGAATACTTAGAAATGTTCAAAAGTTGTTAAAAAAATAAATAAAATAAAAAAAGATCCCATTATGAAAAGTCAAATGTCACTGAAAGGTCAGACAAGAAGTCGGGCTTCCCCCTGATGGACTTTATCTATAAAGCACCTGGAAGCGACAGGATACGGCTCCCCGCACCGGG